TCGTCGTAAACAAAAAGGGGAAAGCTCTTAGGAATAACAGGACTTCCGCAGCCTACAGCCTTCTAAATAAAACGACTAAAAAGAGAGACGCATTCTTTTTGTGGTTCATCAAACACAGAGGAATTTAGAACACAGAGCATGACATAAATATTTTGTCGGAACTCCGCTAAGGAACAAGAGTTGTCAAGAGTTTTATAAGCTAATGAGAGGGATTTGTTATTAGGCTTATGTGTAAGGGGTTTGAAGGATGTGTTGGGGGAGAATATCTGGTCTCAAGACAGAAACGGAAGAGGAGGATGCGAAGTGTAACAGCCGAGAGGGCAGAATTCTTGCTTTATATTCAGGAGATCCTAGGTTCGAATATCGGACGTGAGACAGGATATGCAGACTGCGGATTTTGCCGGGTTTCAACAGTCCCTTGAGGCATATTATGCGATAGTAGTTCATGACCGCTTCCCACCATACTCTTTCCAACCCATGATTCTCTACTCGTTCTATAAATTCGGCTCTATAATAGTCTGAGCTACTGACAACTTCGATAAACTGTCCATATATTAACTAAAGAAGCATAGATCTGCAAGATTTTAAGAGCCCAAAATATTTCCTGAATGATGTGACAAATATAATAATTTAAAAACGATTAGTACTCATTTCTTACTGTGGCGAATAATGGAAAAAGAAGTAGGAATGGATAAATACGCTTCACTTATGTCATAGCTTCTCTTTCGAGAACTTACTGAACATGTGGAAATACTGGATTGCTTCGAACAATTCAAATATTATTCATAATCACAAGGATAATGGTAAAGATAAATGAATAATAGAGACAATGTATTATTTAAAGGTGAAAATTGAAGTTGTCCTTGTGCTCAACTAATTAAGCACTACGCCATGAAGAAGCATGGGGGAGTGAATGTAGAGATCCACATTTTCTTGATCTCGGCACTTGTTGGAGGTGACTGGCCAGGTCCACGCCCCAGCCCCTTTACCCCCGGGGAAGAGCCCTCGACACCCGTTGTATAGGTGATTGGGTGGACCACAGAATCGGTCTGGAAGAATGGATAAGTGAAAATTCTTTACCATACCGGGACTCGGACTCCTACCCCTACCCTATCGTCCAGTCCGTAGGCAGCGCTATCCCGGTTCACCAATAAATTCGGTACGGATAATAAGGCAAGCCGAATAAGTGCATATTTGCTGCAGTAAAACACAACAGCTTTCGCGTTTCTCCTATCATTTACTTTTGGTGTTTTCACTATTAAGCACGCATATAGAAACATATATCTATCATAGTATTCGTCTGATAAACAGCTTTACACTTCCGAAAATCAATATTTCTCTGATACATTACCAGGGACTAGTAGCGTAAGACCGCTGATGGGTCTGCCATCTTCGAATTTTATGACCCAACTCCTGGGAGTATTATTAGCCCACCGACAGGACTGCAGCCCTTGTTCACTCCATCGCTTAAGGTTCTTCATTTCTCCGCTTCGTGACCATCGAGGACTGTTGCAGCCGCTCCAGATATGGAGAACAGAACCTGCTACTTCTCGTAACCCTGGTTCGGGGCCCTTACTAGGTACCACCTCCTTGAGTAAGGAGGACCTGGAGGTAGCCTGAACAGGGAAGATTGCCCCTGTAACGTGGTTACTTTAGAAAAAGCCCAAACTTGCAAATGAGCTCATTGAACTGACAGATGAACATTTCTCAAGATGTATTTAGGCATATTCTACAACTATGTGGGCTCCTAAGTGTGCCAAATTTCCGAGGGAAACTGTAGGGGATATTCTTATGTGACAATACCGCTTTCTTCACGCAATTTCATTATAACGGTTAATAGCAAAAATTGCTATGTTTGACTTCATGTATTCCGCAGTAGCGTGAACGGAAGGGAAACAAATATAACGCAAAATAAACATAGGCCTGAATAATCTATAATGTCAAAAGTAGAAAGAGACCTCAAGTTTTCCTTAGACTATCACAAAGTAAAAGCTGGCGAATTTTTTAATGCTGTCACGTAGTTTTCATTATTAGAACTACTTACGTATACCAAGCTTGCCATATTAGCACTACATACCCGCTTGTATAATTGTAATTTACAGACCTTCGCGCCGGACCTCGTCTTCAGGCTGCGGTAAGTAGGCGCGTACAGACCATCTCATCAGCTGTCAAGTATTCTCACCCAGTTATACTAAAGTAACGCCTTGTGATGGCTAGTAGGCTATAATGTAAGGCAACTAAGGCCTGCTGGTTGGCCGCGCCATAGCTCAAGCAGTTAGTCGCTGGCTTCCCATCGCGGCGGCCCACGTTCGATCCCGGGTCTCGTCAAGTGGGATTTGTGATGGACAAAGTGGCGCTAGGGCGGGTTTTCTCCGAGTACTTCCGTTTCCCCTGTCAATCTTCATTCCACCAATTGCTCCACAATTACCCTCACATATCATCTGGGGCTGGTACAATAGGCCAGAAATGGCCGCAGGGACTTAGTCCCACCCCACTAGCAAAGAAAAAAAAGAAGGTCTGCTGGTTAAGTCTGACTTTCTTTTGTGGGGTTTAGGGGAAGTTTAGCTTACTAGCTTATATGACTTAACAGACATTAACGTCTCGAAGAAAGAGACCATTTACACTAATACAGCACCGACTGTTTACACACAATTACAAAACTTATAAGTATATGTGGGGACACGCTGTAGCATAGTTGGTTGAGGCACTATATAACAAGCAGGAAGGTCGCAGATTCGATTCCCGATGAGGTCATTAGAACTGTAAAATGGCCTAATCCTTCCGGCCGCAATATGACCCCAGGGCCGACTCAGTCTCTAACAGATATGAGTACCAGGAATTTTCCTGAGGGTAAAGGGAGGCTGGAGAGTAAGCCTGACAACGTCACCGCCATCTGTGAGCTGCTTGTCTAGCAAATGTGGCAGCCTCCACGTCTCACAGCTCTATGGGCCTCCACGGTCTGTTACACAGCTTTAACTTTATAAATACATGTCGAATCAAATTATACTTCTCATTCATATTCATTCATGTTTTGAAATATTCACTTTCCATTCGGATTGCTTTGCTTTAGGTCATCGCTTATAATGCTGCTAAAATTACCTCCCTTTTGAGATATACTTGTCTATACCCGTATCTGGAACACTCACGTCTATGGTTCCGATTGCTGGAAAGTGAAATGATTTCATTCTACCAATTTGGAATCTGAATCTCTTACAGTCGAATGATTTAGGAAGCTTAACCTAACTCCACCTGTTCGAGATACCTTCACTCGCGTTAAGCACAGACGAGGGAAGGTGACCTAGACTAGACAGTCTATCTTTCATCCCCCTGAGGATCTCGTCAAGGGCTCCAAAGACGGGTATTGGAGCATATGCAGAAAATGTTTCATCGAGTCGTAACTCCGGCTCCAACACCGACACTACAATGACCTTCCCCGTCGGAAGGGCAAATACCTGCTGGCCTTCACCAGCATAGTCAGTCTCGGTTTCGGGTTCCGTTGCGACTCATAACTATACTGTCACGTAGTTTATGTGACTGTAGACGAGGTTTGAATTGATGAATAGATTTATTGACCATTTACAGGTCGTAACTACAAATACACGTAACTATAACATAATCGCTATTTCCACAATTTACAGTTCACTAGGGCACATAGTCTAGTGCTCTCAGTCTGGTAGTTTCCTGGTTACGGTTCCAAAAACGGATATTCCTCTGCCTCCGGCTCAAGTCCTCTCTTACAGACTTCAGTACAGAACTGACTATCCACTGACCTTTTACTATGCTTATAATATCTCGGTACGGACCACATACAAAACGCAGCTCTTCCATTGTTGTATTCCAGCTGTTGCATTATTAAAAATTTGCTGCCTAGCAACGGAAATTTGTTTAGCCAGCCCTTTCCCAGAAACGACCATGATATATCAGCCCACCTCGCTGTCGTTGCATAGTAAGGGCTCTGCATATTACAAATTTTTTCTTCTTTCCAATAATTTTACGGGGTTTTAAATGATGCCTCATCTTCAACGAGAGGAAGGGTCTGACTACTACTGGTCACTGCCCTTTATTGGGTCGGGGGGNGAGGACTGACTACAGCGGGCACTCTCACTAACTGGGCGTTTCCTCCAAACACACACACACACACACACACATGCGTGCACACGCAAGCACGCACACAGAGACGAGCGTTCCATTCAACAGAAAACAGTACTATTGGGCTTCAATGGTCATCATTAATTATTTCACAAACGTTCTTAAAACGCTGGCAAGTGTCCAGTGAATAACATGATTACGTTTCTCAACATATTAGCATTTACCTGTAGCCATATTACATGAACAGGCCATGTGTTATAAATATTATCCTACAATTATATTCCAGTAGGTTAACATGGATGTAAATTGTTTCTGTCGTCCGTTCCTTTGGTAAGGGACAAGAGGTTATTTCACTGGGTTTCCCTCATGTATAGCTTACATATCCGAAATATTACTGACTTTAACTTATCTGTTTGACAGTACTAATGGTCACATTTCAATACTAGCATGACAAAACATCACTGAAATATTAAGATAGTTACAATTACAAAAGACAAGTCCGTCCAATGTGACTATTTCAGTTTTCTCACTTGATGATTCACTAGCCTTACATGTTTCGATCCATTTGGATCATCTTCAGAGGCACCAAACACTTTTTAGAAACCACTATCACAACAGTTGTCATACCAAATAGTGAATCATCAAGTGAGAAAACTGAAATAGTCACATTGGACGGACTTGTCTTTTGTAATTGTAACTGTTAGTGTGACGGACCAAAATGAAACAAATCAAATTAAGTTAGTATTAACACGTTATTAACTTGGCAGTCTTGTTTGCAAGTTGAAGCAACAGTTTCCCTTATTCCAGACGGAAAAGTAACTGTTACTTCAAGCAACAAAGTGCAAGTACTCGTGGTCCACCAACGTGTAACAAGCATGTACTGGTTGGAGTAGGAAAAGATTAGTACTTACAGCTTCCACAACTCTGGTCTCTGGAGTCTGTGAGTTTTGTCCAGGGGCAGCATAAAAGAATTGAGAGAGCAAGAAACAAGAGCTAGTTAGTGGAGCAGCAAACATTTCGTCATGGATCTGGTGAATGGGGGAGAAGGTTTCTTTTCAACAAAGTAATGCCACAGTTGGGGATAGATTTATGGTTCCGAAGAGCGCTATTCTAATTCAGAGAGGGAGCGAGAGAGAGAGAGAGAGAGAGAGAATGATGAGTATTATGAAGATAAGTGTCACCAGAATAAATTAAAAGATATGCAACCTCACTCTTCTCATCACATGCTTTCTGTTCCTCTCTTCCATTTCTCGCTCACATATACATAACATTTTTTTTTGCTCGTTCAGAAGTGGTAATGTCACCTCACTTTTTTACCATTTGCATTAACGTGAGTTAGGTAACTTTCTCCTGAATCTTTTAAAACTTTTTATATAAGCAAGAAACTAGTTTACGCTTAAAAGTCTTTAATAATCTTCATCTCCTAAATTCCAGTTGAAAGCAATAATTAGAATAGAAATTGGGGGCAAGACTATCTTTCTATACAGCGGAGCTACTGAGAGCTGTCAAGAGACTACGTCACTTTTAACGAACATTTCAGACCACAGACTTGGAAGAATTTTAATGCCGGGATCAATATTTGTTCATAATAATACCAGAGTTCTAGTTGTGTATAACGTAGCAATTAAATAGTATAATAAAATATTAATTGAAAATAATCAAATATTTGGAGAATTATTTTTGAGAAGCTAGCAGTCGCTAAGCCAATTATGGAACACACAGGTTCATTACAGTGTTCATAAAATCCCGCAATCCAACTAATTCATTAATTGAGCATACAATGTGCATAAAACGCAATAATGAAACCGTTATATTCATGTGTTAAAATACAATTGACAATGTTTAATATATGAATATAAAAGGACAATTTTTAAAGTTACAGAACACCCGTGTTTCCCGGTCCCTCTACAGACACACATATTGCAGAGAGTGTACTCAGCTGTTCATTTCAAACTGAATCTGTCTGAATGGAATGATTCGTCTGAAGCATATAGCGAGTAAAACGAATTACAGAGCCCATATATATGTATAAACAACAAAACAATATCTACTACAACCGGCTACAATTCTTAGAATTATGAAGTCCATATGAAAACCTTCTATTCGCTCGGCTAGTCAATGTATTCCTGGAATTATAAGGAACACGAATGTCCATTATGTATTCACAAAAGTCCACTATCTTGAGCCAGATCCAGTCCACATGATCATACCCAACTTCCTTACGATCTACTTCAACATTATTTTTTCATGACTGCTAGACCTATCAAGTGGTTGCTTCTGTTTACATCTGTGCGACTAACATTCTGTATTCATTCTTCATGCCTTCTACACAAGGTGCATGCTCTTTTCGTTTTATTTGTCCTCACTGATTTGACCCCCCCCCCCACAATATCTGGAGAATGCAAGAAATTAGTCCTAGTTTTATGTAATTATCTACAAGCTCCTCTTACTTCCTATCTGTTACAGGAGAGAACGTTACATTAAATTATTATTAAAATTCGTACCTTTCACTTTTGTACGGTTATGTTTGGCCCGCTCCATAGGACGCTACTGAAACTGTTCAGGTTAAGCCATGAAGATTAGATGTAAAACGATTATGAAGAGTGATAGAGAGGAACGCTGAAGTGACCTTAGCAGATAACGTTCTGCCTCGTCTGCCGCGTGGGTGGATGGAGGAAAGCCAAGAGAAACATCAAGAAAGGATAGCATAAACCTGAGAGCAGGGTCCACTGCAAGGTATAAGCATTCACACTTGCCGACTTTCCTTACCTGGATTTTGATCTTCCATGCATACAGTTTCCAGAGGAAATACCGTGACATGCTAGTGTGCCTAATAACTGCATAGATGTTCCGAAGAAAGCAAAACAAACGTGTAATACTATATAAATTTTATCGGGAGCCGAAATCATTTTATCGCTGACAATTTCTGGCCCGGAGACCATTGTTTGGTACTCCCAGTGTAGTGTAGTGTAGTCTATACTTCACCATCCTACACGAATGTTGTGGTAATGGCATTGTTATTTGATCGATAAAACATTAGATTAGTAGACTTCATATGCATTTGTCACTACAGCGTAGATATCCCCATTCTTTTAACTTTCTGATGTACGCTAATTTTACTTATTTTCATTTGTATCAACATCAGAATTTGTCCCTCACACTTCCGGCACACCGACTCCTGTGGTGTCTATGGTGGACCTGCGCCATTGGTTATGCAGCGGTGATTGGAATCTATAAACTGAGGGGTCCGAACTGGAAGTTCTATTAAATGCTTTGTTTCAGAGCCTCCAATGGGACATTTCATTCTTTGCATCCTATTGTACTATAGAATAACGGTACATAGAGGCCGTGTAGATGGGGAAAAGGGTTTTGTTTCAGTAGCCAATATTGGAAAGAAGTTATGTAATAGAAAGTAAGCAATGACGAAAGTGAAAGCAAAAAAAACTTTTTATATTATTTCTCTGAGGGAAAAACGTTGGATATTACGTCATGGTCTTATTTGTGGTGACCAGTTGTGTGTATTTAACCGAAATCAAACAGAGTGTTACTCATTGCATTTAGAAATTAACAACATACACGTTATGTAGAAAGCTAAGCTCGGAATTGTCACTGCGTAATTTCATAAAAATATACAAGGAACTATCGCTTGTAGTCTCAGGAACGTTTCATGCCGACATATGGGTGGTACTTAACGTTTTTTGGAAGATATCTGCATTTATTTAACTGACTGGGGTTATGGGGAGAACCAGGAAATTTAAATTTGGTTCCCCTCTTTGGTACGAGGGCATGAAAGAGAGGTTACAAGCCCCAGCGAACAAGAGCGGGGACGAATGGCGCTGTCTTCAACATCATGCGCTGGATGGGCATAAAAATGAGTAATGACCAGAGTTGGCTTAGTTTTGTGCGCCGATGGAGGGTGCCAGAGGCTAGATATGCATGGATCCTAATTAGAGGATGCCTCTGCGAGATGCCAAGAGTTGGAGGGAAACGGACAATCGAGAAGATGAAAACCGGCGAGGAAGATGACGAAGGAGAATGAAAAGGAATAGTTAAGGCACATAGAAAGGGCTAAAGGAGAATTTACTCAAAACCGGGTAGATACCATCTAGTACGCGCGAGTATAATAGAAAATGAGGAAAGTAATAATTACAGGATGTAAAATGCATACTGTAGTTATTTTGTTGATAGGACGGGCAGAAACGAGAAAAGGATTTAAAGAGACGACATCAAGATGTCGGTAGATGACAAAACACCGAAGATTGCAAGTAACTGAAGGTTTTTACATCGCAGATACAACAAAACGAATACAACAGCTTCAATATGGGAGTCTTGTAATTATAAATCGAATTTAAAAATTGGCTGAAATTAATATTCACATGGTTCTTTGTTTAGGTTATATATATCCCATTCTACAAAAGCCAATATGATGGGAAACATTTTTTGGTAGGAGTGTACCTCTGTAGCGAAATTAGCGAATGTTAGGAGCACACTTTTATGTTCTCCTATTAAACTTGTTACACTTTATGGACTTCACTATTTATTCATGAATTGTTTAGGTACTTTGGATATTTGGCTCATTTCCCAACTGAAGCTGATATAAAATATGAATGGCAGAGCATTTTCAGGCACAATATAAGATGTCTCGTAACATAAAAAATAATTTTCAACTAGAGTATGATGCAGTAGTAGTGTGTAAGGAGGTAATTATTTAAACTCTCTGCATTAAATAAAAAAAAAAGGCTAGTGTCTGTTTATATTTCTTAATTTCATATATGGACATGACAATATTCTTCAACTTAACTAATTAATAAACTAACTGACTGGCTAATAAAGTGAATAATCCCACGGATCACAGTCTATCTTGAGAAGCCAATTTTGATTAACCCAGTCCAGAAATTCTCGGCATTTCGTGAAAGCCGGAGAATCAATTTCATAGACGCTTTCTCCTACTTAAGGTTGAAGATACTTAATATGCATCAAATAACATTTATTTTAGGAACGGACTGGCAGGGATTAAAAGGTTGAAGATAATCTAGTTGCTAGTGGCAACAAATTTCTACCTATTTTAGAAGTTATTTTACGGAAAGAGAGTTCAGTGGATCAGTTTCTGAAATTCAGATATATAAGTAGAGCATTTAGAGGAAACAATGTAAATAATAATAATAATAATAATAATAATAATAATGATAATGATAATAATAATTAAATTCGTGTAATATAGTAGTAGTAGTAGTAGTAGTAGTAAGAAGGAACTGAATCATCATCATCATCCTGTTACCAGGACACAAGACGAAGATTAGGAGGATCAATTCACTCGCGTCAAGCGTGTACGAATTTCCACTATGACATTAATTTACTCTAAATAATTATTTTAATGCCGGTCACGGTAGTCGAGCGGGCTAAGGCGTGCAGTGTCTTCGCTCGCTCGAAAACCGGGATCATGGGTTCGAATCCCACTCAGGGCATGGATGTTTAGTGTATGAGTGTGGGTGTGTTTGTGCATTTTTCTGTGTTTGTGTACAGGTACAGGCTTTGCGACGAGCTGATCACCCGCCCAAGGAGTCGTACCGAATGTCTAAGGTCTAGTAAACCGAAGTGAAACGGAAAGTTTCATTGAGGTAGGCCAAAGCCCAAATTGGGGCTGTAGCGCCAAAAGTAAAAAAAAAATTAATATAAATTCCAGGAACGATCAAAATAAATATGCGATGGAATTAAAATTTGAAGTTATTATTCCAGAATTTTCTTGAAATCTAAATATATCAAAACATATTTTTATTATAAGAAATAAAATCCGATTTCATAACTGTTTCATTAATTAGAGAAAGCGGGTTTACAGGACGCCAGAGAATCGCCTACCCACTACTTTACTCTACGAATACAGAGAGGACGAGCATAAACAGACGAGTTTCAAGAAAGCAGGGAGTGTGGATCAATGCAGAGGCCAATGGTAAGCTCTTTTGAACCTTGTAACGAAAATTCTGGATCTGTAAAGTCTGAAGAATTTCTAGATTAGCTGAGCGACCATTAGCTTCAGCAAGGTACTGTGTTCAATTGAGTTGGTTATGACTGCGTCATTTCTTGCCATAAGAAGGGAACCTCGAATAGTGGGCCCATAATTCGGCAATTAACATGAGACTGGTACGCGTATACAGCGCTCGCTGATAATAACCACATCACTGCATGGTTAGAAAATATATCGGGCAAGTAATATTGATTTGGAATAGAGTTAAACCTTACCTGTGGGGCTACTTCTGTACGAAGGGCTTCTTCGCGGATTGGCTCGGAGCCGTTGTACCATGTCACATTTGCGGCTGGTCTCGCTCCCAGGATCGCACACTCCAAAGTCACCTTCGTTCCCTGTACCACGTGATGAACCACACCAGACAGGTCCAGGCTCAGTGGACGAACTGCAAGCAGAATATGATACATGTATATTTCAGTTATCACACTGCTCCTACAGCTATGCAGAAAAGAACTTCAAAGGGAGACTCGTGAATGGGGTGCAAATATATACTGCCATTGTTGTCAGAAGTATGTTGCAGTGCATTCATTTCATTGGTTACTAAGTCAGAGCACGCGCGCAATCTTATGTATAAACTGTCTTAAGGCGCGTCCACATTACTCGTGCCCGTGCTCCTGTGACTCGCTATGCTCGCGAGTAATATGAATGATATGACAAGTCACGAGACAAGCAAGTTTTAAATTTTTATCTTAAAAGCTATAGTCAATAAATTAAAATACGACTACAGCCTATACACACTACGAGTAAATAAATATACGGATCCTCACTCGTCGAATCCTGGCGAGCAACTGAAGTAGTGTGGACGAAGATTTACGAGCACAAGTAAAAGCCAGACGAGTCTCCCGAAGAGCACGAGTAATGTGAACGCGCCTTAAGCTTGCTCGAACGCTGGGATCGTGGTTTCAAATCCCACTCAATGCATGGACGCTTGGTGTGTGTATGCGTTGTCTTGTTTTTATGTAGCGGCTTTGCGAAGGTCTGATCCCCCGTCCAAGGAGTCCTACTGTCTGTGAAAAATGATTACGGTGCTGAATGAGAGGCCTGGGCTCTGAATGGGCGGGAAGATTAATTAAGAAACTACGTCACAACACTCTGAACTAGCTCTACGGTACTGAGTCCTTCAGAAGCAGCAAGATGCTAAGCTACTCATGAGTTTCCAAAATTCTATGGAACCCGAAAGCTCATTACCGTGTTCACAAGAGCCTACAACTAGTCCCTATCCTGAGCCAGATGAAGCTGGTCCATAGCAGCCAATGCTGTCTCTCTAAGACAAACCTCATATTCATTCTCATTTGGTTACATCGTTCCAAGGAATCCATCAAGTCAAAGGCCGTGAGTAATATTTCTTAACATTTTTTAAAGGTGAGAAGTTGTCAGGATCCCGTCCATGCCACAAGCTGGAGGACCACCCTTCGTTGGCTGTCTGCAATTGCGTTTTCAGTACATTTCCGGCTACCCTTCATATCTAGGGGCCGTCTCCTTCATTAGCAACATGAGGACGCGCCATGCTGTGGTGACAAGGGGCCGACTCAGCATGGCCACAACAGTCCGGACTTCTTGTTCTAGAACTTTCACTATTGGCACTTACAGCTTGTCCCTGGTGAGAGTCAATTCTACGATTGCAAATCCTTGAACATGCGTGTATGTTAGAACTTTATTAAATGGGGACCGGTAAAATTATCACAAATAATTCCTCCAAGCCGATCACAGTGGCCTCTCGGTCTGAGGTATGTACCGTCTTCACCCGCTCGAGCACTGGGATCGTCGGTTCGAATCCAATTCAAGGCATGGATGTCTGCGTTTGTTCTGTATTTTTGTTGTTCTGTGTGTAGGTAGCAGCACTGTGAAGGGCTGATCCCCCATCCAAGGAGTCCTATCGACTGTGTATGGATTAAGAAACTGAAAATCGGCCAAGGTCTACAAGGGTTATAGAGTCATAGATAGAGAGATATACAGATAGACAGATAGGGACACAGAGATAAAAATCCTCTGAAATACCTTATTATATTGAAACTACCTACAAGTTACACAAGATATAAGGCTCAATATTGCAGGGATCACAAAGAAAGAGTTGGAGGATATTATTTCGAATACTAATGAAATCTTCTAGAGGGACATAGGCTCGGAAGTCTGGACTGTGGTTTCGAATCCCATACAAGCTATGGATGTTTGGTTATGTATGTGTTTGTTCTGTGTGTTTAAGTAGAGGCCTTGCGACGAGCTGATCACTCGTTCAAGGAGTCCTACCGTCTGTAAAATAATCATGAAACTGAAAATCAGAGGCCAGGGTCCAAGGGGGTTGTAGAGCCAGTGAAAAAGGATATTAAGCTAAAAATCGACTATGTCTACGGAGTGCTGTATTTGAATCTTGTATTGTTTATGAAGTAATATCCCCCCGTCCTTTATATACACGTACCTACACCCCATTCTCCTCCACTTAGGTCTGTAATGCGGTTTTTGTAGAATTTCATAAAATTAAAGTGACGCGGAAAGTCTTTTTATGCCAGAACTCATTTAGTAACGTTTATACCAAACATAGAAGTTGTACAAATGGTGCGTCTAACTACAAACAGCGATGTGCTGCCACACACTGTAAAAGTGGGTTTACACAAGCTTTTGCATTCTGTTGACATGCATCATCTCTCTCTTATGCGTCGCTCCTTCCTTAGTAATTAAAAAATCTGAATATGTCTTCATCAGAAATAGAGAACTGGACAGGACAGAGGGAAAAATTGAGAATGTCGCAAATGAGCAACAAAATAAAATTCCGATTAAAGAAACAGAAAGCAACATTAAGGTAGTTACTATAGGATTCTGACGGTTGTGTATAACACACAGAGATATTGGGTTTTCGGACTCTATCCACCGTCCTGGTTTTAAGATAACTAATAAAAACACGATGTTTTCCTTCACCCGAGGATGGAAACAGATCCAGTTTCCGAAACGTCGTGTTTTTATTAGTTATCTTAAAACCAGGACGGTGGATAGAGTCCGAAAACCCAATATATCAACATTAAGGTTGATTGTAATGATTCTATTAAATTATTTATTTTTACGTACTAACTAAACAATTACATGAAGCAAATTCAGAGTTATATTGATCATAATTATGTATTATGATTACAAACACGTTAATAATGAGCGATGTAACATGAGGTTTGTGACTTATTTCGTATATACAATTATTTTGTCACTTTAATAATACTGAGTAAATTAATATTTCTACAGGTCTCCGCTAGACAAATCCTGGCTCTTCATTGTGATGACGTTTCTTTCTCGTACATACAATTAATTTATCCCGACAAGACTGTTGCATATATAGAGGCTTCATTGGAACAGCTGCAGAACAGGAATAATATATACAGTTACAGATGATTTTCTTGTGTAGGTTGACTATAAAATATTTGAAAGGACTACTAATAAAACGAAAATTGTAGTACAGACTTACAAATATACGAGTATTACACATATACAGATGTCATAACTGTGGTTATGACTACACTTTATCCACATGGCTAGTGTCCAATCAAATCTCCATACTACCATCCCTTCTGCATCAGCATCAACAATAAACGGACGAAAATGAAATAACCAGTTGGACTAACGATACATGAGGTGCGTGACAGACTCACATTTCGAAAGTCTGATTTTATACAAACACACGCGCGAATTTGTCCCGTGTGACGAAGAGAAAAAAAAAGGAACGAATTAAGAAACATCAGCGTATATGACGCCTCACCCAAAAACCTAGGAGGTACGCGGTACCGTAGTTGGTTGAGGCACTATGCCACAAGTCGGAAGGTCGCGGGTTCGATTCTTGATGACGTAATTGGATTTTTCAATTGATCTAAACCTTCTAGCCGCACTACGGCCCTGGGGTTAACTCAGCCTCTAACAGCAATGAGTACCAGGAATCTTCCTGGAAGTAAAGCGTGGTCGGAGCTAAAGCTAACAGCCTCACCACCAGCTATGAGTCGATTGTCTAGAAAATGCGGGAGCCTCGATATCTCACAACCCTATTTGCCTCAACAGCCTGTTACAGGGATAGCTTACTTTACCTAACCTTACCCAGGAAAGTGTAAAACAGAAATACTTCGTCCGTAGAAGAAATAAAGAACAAAACAAGCAAACTCCGTGGCTTTAGTCAGCAAGCGAACTATACCGACCGAGCGACCACCGCTTGTCGGCGAACTTAGTGCCAACTTTAGCGGATAGAGGGTGTCACGGGGTTAGAGCAACAAATCCCCACGGCAGTTAATTTACGTTTTCTAGACCGGAGCCACTAATTCTTTAAAGTAGTTCCTAAATTATCCTCACGAGGCTGATTTGACCCCGTTCGAGACCCATTACTGCTCAGAAAATGTGGTAGGGCCGGGAATGGAACCCAGACCTCTGGATTTCTAGCCAGGAACTCTGACCACTACATCACAGGGGCGGTTCCGCTGAAGAAATATATAAAAAATTCTACCATTTCAAACTGTGAAAAATATCCTTCTCTTCAGGCTCTTCTTGCATTTCATGAGTATTTATAAAAGCGGATAAATATCTCCAGGATATTTGTGAACTCTTTCTTATGACACGAACATAGGCGCGTGAGGAGACTGCAAGGAATATACTCGTACATTACTATCCACGTCTAATATTTTCTTTTCAGATACTATGTAAATAACATGAGTAATTCTTATATGTAACAATTTTAGTAACATATATTTAAGTAGTACACGCGGAAAAAGAAAATCTTACGAAAGATTAAACATACAGCTGACTTCTTTCACTTCATGCAGCCGCATGCGTATTTAGATGAAGAGCTGATGTTGCTGTTTACTGCTTCTGAGTACAACAGAACAGAGTCAAGAGCTAAATCTCTGAGCAGCAAAGAACCATACTCATAATTTTATACGGCGGGCAGAGAAAAAGTAAAGACTCTATAACGAGGATTGCGGAAGTTCTGAGATCTGAAGTTGAGAGGGAGAAAGAGAAGGAACGCTGTCGTTGAATACAGGCACATTCAAGAGGCCTCGAAAGTTGTAATCGCTCTTGAGTTGTTTGTGTTTACCCAAAAGCGGGTGATGTTTAATTCGTGTGGAATAGAGAAAAGGAAGGATAGGAAGTCCAGGATCCTGGGTAACAGTAACACATCAAACAAGGTGCTAAACATAGCTACACCGATATTTCAAGTGGAAATTTCATGCCTCGCATCTCGCTACAGTGTAGCTCTGCTTGAGATATTTACATAACGTACGTAGGCAAGAGAGATAGCCAGCTACTGCTTCCACCCCCAGCAGTCGCTTCTCTGTCCCTAACCTGAAGAAAGGAGGAAGAAGATGAACGAGCGAAGAGCACGGCACCGCAGACTACAAGACAAATCTTTAGCCCTTGTTTATT